AAGAAGAAGAAGAAGAGCTTGAAATATTTAATGAATCTGTTGGAGGTGAGGTGATGTTTAGTTCGGCTTCAATATTGGTTGAAGGAAGTGGTGAAGAAAGTAGAGCAGCGGGTAATATTGGAGGTGGTTGGGGCGATGGAACATGATCTTGTGTAGTGGAGTGCTCAAAACTAGGCCATGTATCATCATAACCAATGGCAGGTGATTGAGAAAGCATAGGTGTAAACATGGTAGGTAAAGTGAAATGTGCTTATGGAAGATTACGTCACGAGAGATGAAAATTTTTCCTGTTGCTAAATCATAAACCCGATATCCTTTTGTGCCATATGGATAGCCAAGAAAAAGACAACGAATAGATCAGGCATCAAATTTACTAGGGCGAAGGTGATGACTAGATGCAAAACATAATCATCCAAAAACTCGTAGATGTTCATAAGTAGGCGGTTTATGGAAAAGAACTTCATATGGCGTTTTACCTTTAAGCACATGAGTGGGTGTACGATTGATAAGGTAGGTTGCAGTGAGAAGGGCATCTCCCCAAAATGGTTTAGGAAGATTAGCTTGAAAAAGTAACGCACGGGCCACATTAAGAAGGTGATGGTGTTTGCATTTGACAACTCCATTTTGCTGTGGAGTAAAAATGCAACTAGTGTGGTGGAATATACCTTTGTCAAAGAAAACTTGGGCACTATCAAATTCATGTCCATTGTCACTGCGAATAATTTTTACACGAGTTGCAAATTGTGTTTTGACAAAATTGATGAAAGTGATGAGAAAGTCACGCGCTTCAGATTTTGTGTGTAATAGATAAACCCATGTACATCGTGAAAAATCAACTTTGGTGAGAAAATACTTTGCCCCATTGATTGTAGGAACCTGATAACCTCCCCAAATATCAACATGAATCAATTCAAAAAGTGCTTTTGTATTGATAGAACTTAAAGGAAAAGGCTTGCGAGTTTGTTTGGCAAGAGGACAAATTGAGCAATCATGAATGGAACAGAATTGTACTCTTTTATTAAGCAAAGACACAGCTTTCAGACTTTTATTAGAAATATGACCTAGACGTTGATGCCAAAGATGAGGATGGGTGGAAACGATGGCTAAAACGGAGAAACACCCAGCATTCTTCTGAATATCCAAGTAGTAGAGTCCTTTCCGCTCAGTTCCCGTCCCAATCGCCTTCCCCGAATGTTGGTCCTAAACAAAACAAAGATTGTTAGTGAACGTGGCATAGCAAGAGGAAGACTTAGTGAGCGCTGCTACTGATATCAAATTTAATTTGAAAGATGGAACACATAACACGTCATGAAGTATGAGTTTATCGGAAAAACATATGGTGCCTATATGTGTTATACGGGCAAGAGCATGGTCTGGTAGATGCACATAGCGATTGGTAACGGTCGTGCTGGTGGTCATAAGTTTGGATGAGCAGACCATGTGATCGGTTGCTCCTATATCAAAAATCCACTAAGTTTATGAAGATAAATTCACACAAAATGTAGTACCTAAAAGATTTCTAACCGTTGAGGCTGAACTCACTTGATTTGCCATGCTGTCTGGCTCGGTTTGATCAATAAGAGCAAGTAAATCATGATATTGTTCTGCCGTAAGACTGTAAGGTGGGGATGATGATGCTTCAGCCTTATTTGGTTTGAATTCAGAATAGTGTGCTTTAGGAAGCAGGTTTGAATTTTCTCTTTTATCTCCAAGAGTGGTAGCCCTCTTTAGTTTGCGACAAACATCAATAGTGTGACCTTTGTAACCGCAGTAATCACACTTGAGATGGGCTCGACAGTTTTCTGTGGAGTGTCCTATGATATTGCAGCGGTCACGCTTGAGGTGAGCATTCTTCGAAAGATGATTCCTGTTATGCCTTTGTGACCCATTTTTTACAGCAAATGCAGCAGCATCTGGTGCTTTTCCAATCACTTGTGAAGAAACAGCCCTTTGTTTTTCGTCTTGAACAATAAGAGAGAATACCTTGTTGGCAGGAGGTAAGGGCTCAATGAGTAAGATCTGTCCACGAGCTGTTGCATAGACTCCATCAAGTCTCATGGGAACTTTATGGTTCGCTCCCTCTGTTGGTAATCTTGCAACTTCTTCGCTATGTCACCATCACAAGGTGAGAGAGGATATAAAACATCTCGTTTATCCCACAAGCCCTTCAGTTTGGTGTAGTATTCATTGATGCTCATACCTTCATGTACACAACGTTGAATCTCTTGATCAACATGAAAAAGATCTACACTGTTTGTTTGAGAAAACCGCTCCTTCAATTCATTCCAAAGCGTAAAGGCACTATCATTGTACATTATGCTTTGTGCAATGTTGGGTGAAATGGTATTGAGAATCCATACCTTAACAAGAAGATTGCAGTGAGCCCACTGTTTGATCTCCGCTGCGGATCCGGGGACTGGTTTGATAATGGTACCGTCGATGAGACCGTCTTTGTTTTTGGTGGTGAGAGCCATGAGCATGGAATGGCTCCAAACAGGATAGTTTTCTTGCGTCAGTGTTTGAGTCACAAGGACCAAGCCTGGTTTATCCGAATGATGAAGGTAGAGGGGGTTGCTTAGATCTTCGAACATGTTCATTTGAAGTTTGGACTCCTCCAGTTGCTTCGATGTTGTCTCGTCATTTTTCGCCATGAGAACAGATGGTGAAAGGTGTGACGGCTAGGTTTGTTTTGTTTTGGTTGGGTTACTGTGCGAGATGTATTTTACTTCTCTGATACCATAATAAGTTGGTTTGTGCTGAAAACTTTATTTCATTAAGCTGTAAGGGATATATTTATACAAGAAGGAGAAACTATTCAGAGCCTAAGAATCTGTTCAGTATGGTAAGTTTCCTATGCTATCCTATATTACAAGGAAAGTATCGAAGCAATAATATATACAAAAGTCAATGATCAATCATTCCTAGAATCTTGCATATTTTCCTTAACATTCTCGGATTGATTATTATTTAATGATTGGTACTATTTTAGGAGTGTTTGATTGATTGATCTAAATGAGATAGGATTGGTAGCTGGATATCATCATTTAGAAAGGATTTTGCTGATATGAAAACTGCATAACGTTATTTATTTTGAAAGCCAACTTTTAATCCAAATTTAGTTAATTGGTGATTGATGAGATGATTTATATTTGGATGAGTTTTAGCCACTGGATGAATTTCTCTTGATTAAAGGAACACGTCCAGGTTCATATACCATTTATGGAAAGATTTCAAGAATCAGCGTGATTGATTTACATATCAGTTTTGACAGCTCTGTTGCAGTGATTATTGCAACAGAATCTGCAACAGACTGAGTGCAGCAAATTACTTTGAAGATTTCAACAGCTGTACTATTTTGTCTATTTAATTGAAGTCTCTCCATGGTCTCAGCACACTTTGAGAGCCTCATAATTACAAAGAGTCAAATCATTTTGTAAACACTTGTATATTTCATAATTCTTTAGGAGAAGGGTTTTAGAGTTTTTTGGAAGAGAAAATTAGTTGAAGGGATTTCAACATTGTAATTCGAGGGGATCTCGCTAATCAAGTGTATTAGAAAATTACAATTTCATAATCGTCTAGTCTTGAGAGGGAGTCTTAAGCAGTTTAAGTCCAACTAAGTTGTAAATTGAGTTCTTAGTAGATTGTTCATCATTTGGGCGTAGCCCCGCAGAGCAGGTGGTTACCAAATTGCAATACCAATTCTCTTGTCTCGCTTTTTTCTTGCACGTTTTACTTTCATTTCATCATCGAATTGTATATTAAATGTGATATAAGACTCAACGGGTACCAACAAGCTCCATTAAGAAGTACTTTATAATAGGTGTGAAACCATACCAAATCAAACACGTGAAATACAAATCAAACAAAATGTTAATTGGCTTAGAGATTCTCAAATCAAACCAAGCTCTTTAATGAGCCAAATCTAAAGAAAACCAAATTGGTTATAGCTAATTTGATTTCTATTTTTAATAGGTATGAAACAATATCCATCAACATGCTCTCAAGTATAATTAGAAGAATCCCTATAATTAGAACCAAAAGTTTTTATGGTAAACGTTCATCTGTTTTCCAATCATAAACATAAATAACTCAAAGAATCAAGTATCCAATCCATAACTAAAATAAAACATATCAAAAAATCAGAGTTAAAGAATGAGTGGGTGTGCAACGGCGGGGCAAAGGCGACAAGGAGGGTAGCCAGTAAGTGAGGTTCCATGTTAAACAAAGATAAAGCCCGCAAATTGCAACTCTATCCTTGAGACATACATCTATATAATATTTTAGTAATTCTATTTTCATATATTATTTATATAATCTTATAAAATATATATAGTTGTTTTTGTTTTGGTTTTGTTTGGTTTTCAGGGTAAAATTTAAAACCAAACCAAACATATTACTAAGATTTGGTTTTAGTTTTGATTTGCTATAATATGATCTGTTTAATTAATTAGTTTAGTTGGATTGGTGAACTGTACCTAATCTTAATGGAAGGTCAAATTGAGATAACATATATGTAAAGTTCAGAGACCTCTATCGTTTTAAACCGAAATAAATACAATATAGGAGATGATATAAATATACAACAAAACAAGCTTTTTATAACTGTTAATTATAGCGTTTTTAAAAAAACGCTATTAAACATTTTTTCGGCTATATATAATAACGTTTCAAAATAGTTATAATATGTATATATATATAAGTTAATAAAATTTTAACTGGTTTATTGTATATATATTTTTAGAATGACTGGGCAGTGGAAAAATTGTTTCTCCAAATTTTTAAGGTCCCTTCATTTCGCTAATTTGAGTTTAGAATTTGAATTTTACTACAGTAAAAAGTTCTCATAAACAATCACATTTAATTTTTTTACTGTAGTAAAAAACTCTCATATAAAATCACATCTCAACTCAAATTAAAAACTCGAGTCACCGAACTAAACGGACCCTAAATTTCCGCCGCTTCGTTCCCCCCTCCCCTTTTTTTTTGGCTCTGCTTGCTGCTCAAATTCCCATACGAACAAAAGCTTCCCCACTCTAGACTAGAGGCCTCAACTGCTTCCTCTCTATCGTTCCCGTCGCTCAATCTCGCCGCCGATGAGCCTCCATTGCCAGTCTTTCCGAGTCCCATATGAACAAGGAACAAAAAGAAGTCCTAAATTCCCACTTCTCCTATTCTGACAAAGAAGCATTTACCCGGCCAAGGAAAAAAGAAAACTCACTCGATTCCACCTCACTCATTCCTCTCTTTCCCCCAAATTCCAAAATTTCCCCGTTATGCTCTGATGTCCAAATTGATTTGCTTTGCTTGACCGGAAGGTTATGCTCTGATTCCGGCCTCGACGTGATTTTGAAATAGACTGGGTCGTGGAAGGCAGATCGAAGGCACGTGAAGCTGTCCTCCTACGCGAAGCTCGGTTACCCAAGGAGGTTCACATTTCTCTATCTTTGTATGTTCTCCATTTCTGAAATTTTGCCCCCAAATTTTACGTTTCCCGCTCGGTCATTCGCCCCCTTTTGGTTCTCTTTTTGTTGACGTGATTTTGTGAATATTAGGTCGTGGAAGGAAGATGCTCTGAGCCAGCCTCGACATGATTTTGTGAAGATTAGGTCGTGGAAGGAAGATCAAAGGCCCGTGAAGCTCTCTTCCTACGCCAAGCTCCGTTACCCAAAGAGGTTCACATTTTACTCTCTCTCTGTTCTCCATTTCTCTATTTTATTTAGAAATTTTGTGTACTGCATTTTCACTCCCAAAGGTGTAGAGCTGTTAAATTCGATGAATTGTACTACTGTTGAATTCGTGTACTGCATTTTCGCTTCCAGTTTTCTTCCACCGCCATTTGATCTCTGAATTGTTCGTTCGTGTTCGAATTCGCTGTTCTCAGAGGCCGTACAGGTTCTGGTTTCTTCTCTTGCCGATGAATCTCCCGTGGTCAGAGTGGCCTCGATGGCTTCTCTCGAGGAAATCACCGCTCTGTACTCTCTCTATATATTTTTTCATATACATTATAATTACGCATGATTACAGTGAATTCTGAAGTTTTGGAATTAATTAATGGAGTTTTTTCGATTCTAGGAATCCGCTTCTGGTTCTTGACTGTTGCTCGGCGGTTTCATGAGGAGGACGTCGGGTGATTTTCTGGTCTATGGAATTTGGGTTTAGTTTTCTCTTCATTTCCTGTTCTTCTCTTGTCGTTGATTGTTTTTTCTTTTTTTCCTCCATTTTTGATTTTTTTAGCGCTTTGGGAACATGGCTGGTGTTTTTCAAGTAATGGCATTTGGAGTTCGGGCGTTGGACAAGAAGGATCTTGATCCTTCTTTCAAGGCTAAGCTTGCTAAGATTGCCATGGCCTAGATGATTTCCTCCAAGGTAAAGCCGAAAGGGAATGAATTCTAGATTTGATTATCAGTTGATTGATTTATTTGTACTTGTAGGAGTATTCTTTTTGAAGCTATGTTGGCAGTTTATTACTTTGTTAGCTCTTGTTTGATTTTAATTCTGTGATGGTGTAATTAGAGTCAAAAGTAGTCTATACTTAACTAGTTGCTTATTGGCATTTGGGTCTCTTGTCATTTAGTCTTCTATTGAGTGAAGACTACTGGCTGAAGTCCTTCCACGGCAGGAAAAAGGCAGGATAATGTCCCCATTGTTGGACCGGAACAAGAAACGGAAGCTAGTCGTCATTTGCCTCAGGTTTAATGAAGTTTTCTATTCTTATATTTTGCTTAAGTTGATAAAAAAAATGGTGTTACTATTATGCCATTCTTACTTTTGGGCTAATATTATGCATCCATAGCTCACTTGGAGTTAAATTCTGTTGATTGTTCCATTCATTCATAATATTGAATTTGCTCCCTTAGTAAGGTCTTTTATGTACAAGCATAATAATCAAGATAAAACCAATTATAAAGTTAGGGATTTTAAGACGTTTTGGTTACTCTTTTATATTGTTGAGCTTTGAAGCTAAAGGTCTTTGGACTTTCTTATACAGCCTTTAACAGAAGTGTTGTTGATGAGCTGTCTTATACAGCCTTATGTGTTGTATACACCCATGGAGATGTATATATGATCTTTGGAATCTGGACTCACGAGAATAGGAGTGTGGCTAAGGTAAGCTTTATCATCACACGAAACCATTTGTTTTTCCCCCCTTTTTTTTGGTATTTGGACTTGTGCTTTATATGTTGCATACGACTGATATTTATTTGTTAAGGTTCTTTAGAGACTTTTATCTTTATCGTTTTTTAAGATCCCTCTGTACTACTCTTTGCTTATGTACTTTTGGATTCTTTTTGTTAATTGGGTCCCTTACTAAATCCTTTGTTGTGATAATGAATTTCTTGCTGTGATTAATGAAATTCTTTGCTATTTTGTTTTGCTTTGCTTTGTTGAACGATTTTATACAGGAGTCGTCACCAGGTTCTTTCCTTTCTTTCTTCTTCGGGTTTAAATGTAGGCAATGAAGACTCATGTTTTCTCCAACTATCTACATAACAATACATGTAAGATACTCTCTGTTTTATAAGTTTGACATTAAATTTTTGCCTAGTGCATCATTGAAGCCATGTTTTCTCTAACTCACTGCAAAACATATGTGGATGTGGCTATGTAGTTGTTAATGGTGTAATTAGTCCTTGCTTTATTTATAGATTAAATGGTGGAAGTTTTAGCTGAGTTTGATTATTGTTTTGATAGTGGATCACTTTCTTACAGGTTAAACAGTGGATATGGCTTTTTTGTTGAAATATTTTGTCAAGATGAAAGGATTTACTTCACCATTTCCCTTAGTTAGACGTTTTGGATACTTTGATATCTCCAGCTATTCTTTTGTTTTCTTTACTTGTTTTGAATGTTAAGGTTTTGGACATTGTATGAATTATGTTGTAGACGTAATTTTATTGCCAACTTGATAGATATTGATAACAATTGATATGTTGAATGTTTTTATGTTTTAATTTGAATGTTCCTATTTAGATATAAGATGTTGCTCGGAATCACCATCTATTTGAATGAATTCAAAAGGATATCAATAATAATTTTAAAAAGCTACAAGAGTATGAACATGACAAGGAAAAAAAGCTATTAATCTGTATCGTAGCCATGCTAAATAGCTGTAAGAGATTGAAAATAACTTGTCCAAACGCTATAATACCTCAATTCTATTTCGCTTTCCATAACTCTCTTAGAACGCTATGTTTTCTTAGGATTTTTAATAGCGTTCGATGTCTTAGCGCTCCACAAAACGCTATTGCTAGTGATTAATAGCATTTTTGGTATGTGTGTGTATTTGTGTGAGGTTTCCCACAATGCAATATATCGTTTTGGTGTGCTTTCTTTTCTTTTCTTTTCTTTTCTTTTCTTTTACAAGTCGCAAAGTGGTATCAAAACTAAGAAAATGTAAAACGAAGAAGAAAAACTTTAGAGAGAGTTTCATTAATCTTGTGAAGATATATAAAATAAAGAATCTTAGAGCTCTATTTACAGTTACTATTAGCACATTAAGATTCTAACATGAACAATAACTTTGACTGACTTATATAGTAACTTGGAGTGAGGTGGACAGCCACTATTCATAACACTCCCCTTTAGATGCCCACCATTCATGATGCCTCATTTAAAACATTGCTAGGAGAAACCCAGTGGGACAAAAACCATAGCAAAGAGAAAAAGAGTACATTATTTATCTATATGTGTTTATGTTAACTCGTTAAAAACCTTATCAGGAAAACTCAGAGGGATAAAACCATAATAAGAAAAAAAGAGTACAGCCACTTAAACTCCCTCTCAAGTTGACATGTCTAAACCTTCCTCATAAATCTCACAGATAACGCATCCTGATATTGTGGATATACTTTCTGAATGTTGTGGTGGGAAATGCCTTTGTAAAAAGATCTGCTGCATTGTCACTTGATCGAATGTATTGAATATCAATATCTTTATTCTTTTCAAGCTCTTGGGAGTATGAGAAGAACTTCTGAGGTATGTGTTTCGTTCTGTCGCTTTTGATGCGACCTTCCTTTATTTGAGCTACACATGTTGTATTGTCTTCAAATAATACTGTTGGATCTTTACTAATATATAGTCTACAAGTTTTTTTGGCTATGTTGAGTCATAGACCTCAGTCATACACATTCTCGATTTGCTTCATAGAGCGCAATAACTTTGGCATGACTAGAAAAAGTGGCAACAAGTGTTTGCTTTTGTGAACACCATGAAACAGCAATAACTCCACATGTGAATACGTATCCAATTTGAGACCTGGCTTTATGTGGATCTGATAAATATCCTGCATCTGCAAAACTAATCATCCCTTGTTTTGATCCTTTAGGATAAAATAATCTCAAATCAAAGTTCCTTAAAGATAACGGAATATATGCTTAATTCAGTTCTAATGTCTTCGTGTCGGAGATAAGTTAAATCTTGCTAATAGATTAGTAGAAAAAGCTATCTGGTCAGGAACAATTAGTAAGATACATACGAGCTCCTATTGTACTTAAATATGGTACTTCTGGACTGAGGACCTTTTTATTACCTTCGCAAGGGCGAAATGGATCCTTTTCAACATTAAGTGATTTAACAATCATTGGAGTACTTAAAGGGTTTGCTTTATCCATATTAAAGCGTTTTAAGACCTTTTTAGTATAGTTTGATTGATGCACAAATATTCTACTTTGATGGTGCTCAATCTGCAAACCAATACAATATTTCGTTTTTTCAACGTCTTTCATTGCAAATTCATCTTTTAAGTATATCCAAGCTTTTTGAATTTCTTTATGAGTTTCAATGATGTTCAAATCATCGACATAGATAGTGAATATAACAAAGCCAGATGTTGTTCTCTTAATAAAAACACATAGGAATATGAGATTATTCACATTTCCTTCTTTTGACAAATATTCACTTAAGCGATTACACCACATGCATCCGGATTGCTTCAACCTATATAATGATATTTGTAGCTTAATCGAACATATATCTTTAGGTGTCGAATTTAGTGCTTCAGACATTTTAAATCCTTCAAGAATTTTCATATAAATATCACTATCAAGTGATCCGTGTAAATAAGCTATAATAACATCCATAAGACGCATCTCTAAATTTTCAGAAACTGTTAGACTGATTAAATATATGAACGTAATTGCATCCATTACACGAGAATACGTTTCCTCATAGTCAATCCCAGGTCTTTGTGAAAAACCTTGTGTTACAAGTCGAGCTTTATACCTTACAGTTTCATTTTTCTCATTGCGTTTTTGTACAAAAATCCATTTGTATCCCACATGTCTCACGGCTTCAGACGTTAAGACAATAGGTCTAAAAACTTTATGCTTATTAAGCAAATTTAACTCAACCTGTATAGCATTTTTCCATTTGATCCAATCGTGTCTATTTTGGCATTCAGAAACGGATCTTGCTTCAAGATCCTCAGTTTCGTTAATAATTTCACGTGCCATAGAGTAAGAAAATATTTCATCAATATTTTCAATTTTATTTCGATTTCATAATCCTTTTATATTGATATAGTCAATAGAGATCTCACTATTCTCAAAACCTTTAAAATTTTCTACAATATCAAGAATCTTTTTGTTTGTATTATTTTGTGTTTCTCCTAGAACACTTTCCTCCAAATCGGGGTCATTATGCTCATTTGCTCCCTTCCTTTTCCGAGGATTATTGTCTTTGGAACCGATAGGTCTACCACACTTTAAGCGTGTTTTAGACATATTAATGAATTCATTTTTAGATTGTCCTTTTAGGATTTAAATACGTGCGGGAGCATTTGCAACTAGTACATATGATTTAATCACCCTTTTTATATCAGTGAATGCATCTAGTAATTGATTTGCTAAGTTTTATAAGTGCATAATCTTTTGCACCTCTAGTTCACATTGCTTTGTGTAAGGATCAAGAGGCAACAATGACGGTTCATGATGAGGAGGTTATTTACCGACATGTCAAGAATTTTTTAGTTCAAATATTTGTGAGTCTTCAAGCACATTTGTTAGTTTAATGTGTTTATGGTGTTATTTTGTAGGAAAACTAATAAAACGAACTTCGTGGCATTTTGGAGTCAAAAATTGGAGTAGAAAGCACTCCAGGCCGCACAGGGCACTCTTAGGCAAAACCACCTGTAGGTGGCACACCCATGCCACACCTCATGCACCGCATAATACTAGGCGTGTGGGCACGCAATTAGCAGTGCGGTCGTGCCACTGAAATGTTTGGCTGATAAATACAGATGGCCAATTTTGGACCCTTGGATGCATTTGGCTGATGTTTTCTCCATGTTTAATCATACTTAAGCAAAAGAAATCCCACTTCCCAACTTGGAGAAGATGAGAGGCACAAAACTTCCTAGAGAGAGACGCTTGGAGTTGGAGATTCTTGAAGAATGTTTGGGAGAGATACTTGAAGATTTGAAGACTTGAAGTTCATCGCCACAAGAGTTTTCACTTCCTTCTCCCTTTTCTTTATAGTTTATTAGTTTTTGTTCTTGAAATTGTGGTTTTGGTTATGGATATCTCTATGTTGAGCTAGATTTCATATTCTAGAGCTTGATGTAGCTTTATTTGAACCATGTTTTAATTATCTTGTCAATTGTTAGATAAATTCCATTTTAATTTATTTATGTTTCTCTATGCTTAATGTTTCTAATTTGTGTGGCCAATGAGTTATATAATTTTATATTGTGATTTTGATGCTAGGGAGAGATTGATTTCATAGTCCGGAATTGGGAAACCTAGTCTATGTTATTGTGAGTCCGTGAGGAGATCAACACTTAGATAATCTCATTGAGTTTCTAGGATATTGTGAGACCGATAGGTGATCAAGACCTTGATTATCAACTAGGATTTCAATTCTTGTGAGGCCGGGAGGTGATCGACATTTGAGTTCTAATTTAAGGACTAAACTTAATGACTATGAATAAATGGGATAGACAGGAATATTGATTCGGGTATTCATGCATATGACTTCGTTTGACGCTCGGGAAAGGTAGAGAGGTTAGATTAGGTCCCTTGATTAATGAATTGAGTGGAATTGGCTAGCATTGGCTTGATAGAAGGAACATAGGAATTATAAGGTGAGGTCAAGTCCCTAGTACATTTGTGTATAGAAGTTTTCATGTTTTATTTTATTTTTGTATTTATATGTGTTCTAGTTCTCTTTTTATTTCATTGAGTTCGGTTACCTAGATGAAGTTGAATTATGATAATCATGGTACTTAGCGGCAATTTAATACTCACTCGCCTTATACTATCAAAACTTGACACCGTACACTTGCGGGGGAACAAGTTTTTGGCGCCGTATTGGGGATTGGCGTTTTAGATTGCTGCTAATATTGCGAGTAAGTAGCTCGATTTTAATTTAGGCGTTTCTTTACTTTTTTTATTTATTTTGCTTCTTCACTTTTCTTTGTATTTAATTAGATTGTTTATGTAGTTTTTATTTTGTTTTCTCTGTTTTAATTTTTCCTTTTAAGTGTTTGTTTGTTTTAAGAGGTATTTGGAGATCTTTGATCAAATAATCCTCTTAAGTTTTGCTCAACGAGACACGGACTCGTTTTATAGTGCTTGGGAGAGATAAAAAAAAAATTGCTAATTAGGCTCCCTGATTATGGTCACTCGGAAGAGTGTCAACTATAAAACTTCCTCGATGGTTTAAGCACCGCAACACGAACTTGGGTCGAAAGAGGAAATGGTACTACCTCTCTGGTGACGCTAATCAACGGTAGTTTTCTGCCGATTTCGATTTGAACTTGTTTTTCTCACTTTGGGGAATTTTTTTTCTCTCTCTCTTGTCTGAATGTTCTCTG